CGAAACCACTCTAAAGGGATCAGAAGGAATATGACATATAGTCTGTCTGTTAAATGTTTCCATATTCTTTCCTGGTAATTCAGGACTAAGTATGTTTTACAGTGAGTTCTTCTTTTCAGCCTTTTGGCTGCAATTGAGGGTTGCAAATGCTTTGAGGGTAGTCTATTCATCTTTATATCCTGTCCAAACCCAGCACAATCAGGTCCTAGGGTCCCATCTATTGACCTGAGCTGCATTGTTCTGCTCTCCCTGGAGCTAGGAAATATGCTGGTCACTGTTTTTTGTTGGCTTTAAATACAGTATTTGCAAAGTTCAAAACAAACCTTATGATCATTCGGCTTGTGGCTTCTCTCCTAAATCTCCCTCGTTTTGGAATGGTCAGGATGGCAGGAGGACGTGCCAAGACTGAGCTTCTGTTTCTGTTCAAGGACAGTCCCTGCCATGGCTTCGTTTGAGTTGCCCTCCCTTTTCTTATCAAATGAAATCAGCCACCACAGGAAATTGGCTTCTCCAGATTGTAGGAGACAGGAAGCAGCACCACAAAGCAGGGTCCGGGGGGGAAGCCAGAGATGAGAGAAACAGCTCAAGCTCCAGCTCAGTCAGTGCCTGGCCCCCGCCTTGCTTTCTGCCTCTCTGTCTCATTCTTACCATCTCCAGCCTGATCTACCCTTCTCCTGGGTCCTGGTGTCTGAGGCTGAAAGGCGCTGTAGTAGAAGTTACGTCAAGGCCAGCCTCCCTCCCCACTCAGTCACTCCCAACAAGCCTGCGGCATGTGCTTGACCCTTCCAGGGATGGAAATTTTACTGCTTCCCCTAAGAAACCAGCTCCATTTTGCCTTTTATCCATCTGAACCTCTCTCCTCCAGTGTTCTTCCTTAGGTCCACGTGGGCCTCACTTTTCCACGGGACAGCCCTTTCCAAACCTGAGTCTCCAGGCTAAGCCCTTCCAGGGAGGCCTGTTGGTAGAGGCATGAGTTTCTCAGAAACTCAACCAGAGGGAGTCAGGAAGGGGTCTAAGCAGGAAGGAAAGGCGAGAACAATGCTACTCGTGGGCCCTTTCCTTGCCAAGGAGTTACGTGTGGTGGCTTTAACGTGATGTTTACTACAACCTCCGCATGCTTTTCTTCTGCGTGCCTGGTGCCTTATGGGAAGAGTGTCTTCTCTTTAGCTCACTTCATTAATTTTTTATGAAATATTTAAATACATATATAAAGGTATCATGACATTCCACTCCTAAATACTTCAGTATGTATCTTTAAGACATAAGAATATTGGCCGGGCGGCCAGGCGCGGTGGCTCAAGCCTGTAATCCCAGCACTTTGGGAGGCCGAGACGGGCGGATCACGAGGTCAGGAGATCGAGACCATCCTGGCTAACACGGTGAAACCCCGTCTCTACTAAAAATACAAAAAATTAGCCGGGCGAGGTGGCGGCACCTGTAGTCCCAGCTACTCGGGAGGCTGAGGCAGGAGAATGGCGGGAACCCGGGAGGCGGAGCTTGCAGTGAGCCGAGATAGCGCCACTGCACTCCAGCCTGGGCGACAGAGCCAGACTCCGTCTCAAAAAAAAAAAAAACAAAAAAAAAAAGAATATTGGCCGGGCACGGTGACTTATGTCTGTAATCCCAGCATTTTGGGAGGCCGAGGCGGGCGGATCACCTGAGGTCAGGAGTTCAAGACCAGCCTGGCCAACATGGTGAAACCCCATCTCTACCAAAAATATAAAAATTAGCCGGGCATGGTGGCAGGCGCCTGTAATCCCAGCTATTCCAGAGGCTGAGACAAGAAAATCGCTTGAACCCTGGAGGCTGAGGTTGCAGTGAGCCAAGATCGCACCATTGCACTCCAGCGTGGGTGACAGAGTGAGACTTTGTCTCAAAAAAAAAAAAAAAAGAATATTTTTCTGCATAGCCAAAATCAAAATATAACACCCAACAAAATTAACTATAACCTCCTAGCATTATTTAATACTTAATCCACAAAATTTCCCCAGTTGATTCCAAAATATCCTTTACTGCTGTTTTGTTCAAACCAGGATCCAGTCCAGGACCATGCACTTCATTTTGTTGTGATGGAACTTAGGACTCTTTTATGGATGACGCTGATAAATAGAAGAAAGTTTCCTTGTTAAAGTGCTCTCTTTTAAAAAATTCATATCAGGGCCAGGTGCAGTGGCTTACGCCTGTAATCCCAGCCCTTTGGGAGACTGAGGCAGGTGGATCACCTGAGGTCAAGAATTCAAGACCAGCCTGGGCAATGTGGTAAAACCCTGTCTCTGCTAAAAATACAAAAATTAGCTGAGCCTGGTGGTACACGCCTGTAATCCCAGCTACTTGAGACACTGAGGCAGTAGAATGGCTTGAACCCGGGAGGCAGAGGTTGCGGTGAGCTGAGATCACACCACTGCTCTCTAGCCTGGGCAACAGAGCGAGACTCCATCTCAAAATAAATAAAATAAAATAAAATAAATAAAATAAAGTAATCAGGCTGGGCACAGTGGCTCACTCCTGCAATCCCAGCACTTAGGGAGGCTGAGTGGGGCAGATCGCTTGAGCCCAGGAGTGTGAGACCAGCCTGGGCAACCTCATCTCCTCAAAAAAATACAAAAATTAGCTGGGCGAGGTCTGTCGCCCAGTTTGGAGTGCAGTGGCACGATCTCAGCTCATTGCAACCTCCGCCTCCTGGGCTCAAGCAACTCTCCTGCCTCAGCCTCCTGAGCGTGCACCTCCTGGGCATGCCTGTGGTCCCAGCTACTCGAGAGGCTGAGGCGGGAGGATCCTTTGAGTCCAGGAGGCAGTGGTTTCAGCAAGCCGAGATCGTGCCACTGCACTCTAGCCTGAGCCTCAGAACCAAACCCCGTCTCAAAAAAAAAAAGCAAAAAACAAAAAGAAAAACCAAACCAAATAAAATACATATCATATATCATCAACATAGTTCATTACGCCATTATTATATCATGGATATTGTTCATATTACACATCACGAGACAGTTGTACCACTCAGATGTCAGACGCCATGAACCTTCTACTTGAGACAGTGAAATTCAAGAATAATTTTTTCAACCAGGCGCGGTGGTTCGCATCTGTAATCCCAGCACTTTGGGAGGCTGAGGTGGGCAGATCCCCTGAGGTCAGGAGTTCGAGACCAGCCTGGCCAACATGGTGAAACCCCATCTCCACTAAAAATACAAAAATTAGCTGGGTGTGATAGCCAGCACCTATAATCCCAGTTACTGGGGAGGCTGAGGCTGGAGAATTGCTTGAGCCCAGGAGGCGGAGGTTGCAATAAGCCAAGATTGTGCCACTGCACTCCAAACTGGGTGACAGAGCAAGACTCTGTCTCAAAAAAATAAGATTTAAAAAAAATAAAAAAGGATAAATTTTACCAGACTCCATCTCAAAAAAAAAAACAACAAAAAACATGACCTCATGATCCGCCTGCCTTGGCCTCCCAAAGTGCTGGGATTACAGGCGTGAGCTACAGTGCCCAACCAAGAATAATTTTTTTCAAGAAATATTCAGTCTACAGAGTCCCAGTAACGGAGGTAACAAATATACACATGGTAGCATTTCATATTCATGAATTTGTTCAGCTTGGGAACAATGGAAATTCAGTTTTTTCTTTTTTCTTTTCTTTCTTTTTTTTTTTTTTTGAGTGGAGTCTTGCTCTGTTGCCCAGGCTGGAGTGCAATGGCACAACATCGGCTCACTGCAACCTCCACCTCCTGGGTTCAAGCGATTCTCCTGCCTCAGCCTCCCGAGTAGCTGGGATTACAGGCATGCCCTACCATGCCTGGCTAATTTTTTTTTTTCTTTTTTTGATTTTTAGTAGAGATGGGGATTCTCCATGTTGATCAGGCTGGTCTCGAACTCCCTACCTCAGGTGATCCACCCGCCTTGGCCTTCCAAAGTGCTGGAATTACAGGCGTGAGCCACCACACCTGGCCAAGTGATGTTTATTTGAAAGTCACAATTAGTCAGAAAAAGGAAAGGCAGATATGTTAGCATTCTCAAGGACATGTATATAGAGAAAAAGATGTTTCTAAGGAATTGGTTCACATAGATTATGGAGGTTGGCTAGTCCAAAATCTGCAGCGTGAGCTGGCAGGCTGGAGAACTGCCTCTTCCTCCAGGGAGCACCGTCTTTTTGTTTCAGGCCTTCAGCGGACTGGACGGGGCCCACTCGCATTGTGGAGGGTAAATCTGCTTTGCTTGAAATCCACCGATTTAAATATTAATCTTTTCCAAAAATATCCTCACAAAGACATCCAGAATAATGTTTAACCACATACTGCTCTGAAAAGTCAATGGGTTCATTTTTTTTCTATTAAAAAACCCCACCACATAGCTGGGTGCTGTGGCCCAGCTAGATATTACGGCAGCGCTGAGAGAGACAGAGTTTCCATCTCTGCTACTGTGTTCTGTTCTTGTGTAAAAATGTAACACTTAGGGCCTCGGTTTTCTTCTTTGTAAAACAAAGGGTTTGGACTAAAAGATCTCTAAGTTTCCTTCCAGCTTTAAAGTTCTTTTAAAAATTGTAGTAGGCTGGGCACAGTGGCTTGCACCTGTAATCACAGCAATCTGGGAGGCCGAGGCGGGCAGATCACTTGAGGTCAGGAGTTCGAGACCAGCCTGGCCAACATCGTAAAACCCCGTCTCTACTAAAAACACAAAAATTATCTGGGCGTGGTGATGCGCACCTGTAATCCCAGCTACTCAGGAGACTGAAGCAGGAGAATCGCTTGAACCTGGGAGGCGGAGGTTGCAACCTCGTGATCCGCCCGCCTCGGCCTCCCAAAGTGCTGGGATGACAGTCATGAGCCACCGCACCCAGCCTTGTGTGTGTGTTTTATAGCAGCCATCCTAATGGGTATAAGGCAATATCTCATTAAGATTTTGATTTGCATTTTCCTAATGACTGGTGCTGTTGAGCATCTTTTCATAGGTTTGTTAGTTATTTGTGTATCTGTTTTAAAGAATTGTCTCCTTAAGCCCTTTGCCCATTTTTTTCATAATTGAGATTTTATTGGTTGAGGATCAGTACAGACATTTCAATTTGTACACAATTCTTAACATAGGTAACGAAATTCTAAAAAGCCATGTATTGTAATTATTTTTTAAAGTTATTCCAGTGACTTTCCAGCTTAAAATTTGAAGCAAATTTTCCTTAAGAGGCTATCAAGTACCAGTATCTTCACATGTTGGTCAGCTGTTACATGTGGCCCACCAGTTCACAACTGAATAGCATGTACACTACATATTCAAATCTGTAATCTTTCACAGCACAGGAACGAAGTTATTAGGAAAACGGGACTAACAACCAAAGATGTTACAGAGTGCACACGATTCCGACAGGGAGCGAGCGCCATGATCGAGGGGTGGTTTGCTTTAGGAAACAATTCTACTAAAACACATGAGAATAGAAGTAAAATAAAATGTTCAAGACATTAAATGCAGGACTGACTCCATATTGCCATTTAATATGCTTTGTATTCTAGGATATAAAAACTAACCCCCCATCTATGGAATGTTAAGCTGACACCAGAGACAGTCAAAGCCTCCCATAATTCAACATCCCACACTAGTTTCTGGTTGTACCAAAAAATAACCAGCAAATGATTTCACCTCTTAAAAAAAAAGCATTTACACCTAAAAAATGGGATGAGGTGGGATTCCCTCCTTCGTAAAAATGTTTCTAGAGCTACTAGAACACTTGCATTTACAAAATAGTTGATAAAAATATTCCTCTGGATTGTACAAGAAGGGACACGGGGACCACTGGTAAGACGTGGTATACGGTATTAATCAGACGTGGCTTCTTTCTCTCCTGCTTCGTCAGAGGCTGGACTCTCCTCGGTTTTCATTTCCCCGTTTTCTGCAGGTAAATCTTCTTCAGTTTCTTGGTTAGCCACTTCGGCCTGTTTCCCTTTGCTCCCCTTTTCCCTTTTGTTTGCACTTGTCTGAAGATTTATCCTTCGCTGCTGCCTTTTTCGGCTTCGCTTCCACTTTTGCGGGAGGTTTAGCTGACAACAGCACCCATCTCCTCTCAGGCTCTTCCTTGGCGGCCCCTTCGGCGGAGCTGACCTGCGGGGAGAAGGAGACGGGGAATGGAGGTGGGCCCCAGTCCCAGGACCCGCGCGCCCGCCCGGCCCCGAGAACAATCCCTTTGCCCATTTTTACGTGAGGTTGTTTGTTTTTGTTGTTGTTGTTGAGTTATAAAAGTTCTTGATATATATTCTGGATATTAACTCCTTATCAGATGTGTGATTCACAATGTTCTCTCCTGCCTAGTGGTTTGTCTTAGCCCTCTGTTGATTGCATCCTTTAATGCGCATAAACTCCTTTAAGCCTATGAAATTTGGGGTTGCAACTCTTTCTCCCATAGCTACAGGCTGAGGACCTTAACCTCTCTGTCCTACATGAGTGGTGTTCCTGCCCTCCTATCTCTTCGATGGTACGTATTTCAGAATAGAACTCTAAGTTCTTACTGCTGGAATCGGCTTTGGAATTCTTGTCCAACCTCATTTTACTCATGGACAAACAAGGCCCTTTGTGAGCAACAGCTGGATCTAAAGTGTGAGCTTCTCTCTCCATCCAGCGCCCTCTGCACTGTGATGCAGCTTGACGAGGCAGCTGGTCGTTTTAATGAGCTCCTCAGGAATCAGAAGCAATTACAGGAAAAGACAACCAGGCTATTAAGAGGGAATTTCATCCTATTGAAACTCTGCTATGGGGAAACGTGTGTGTTTGTTATAGGTAATCTAGTTACATTTTCAAAACCCTTTTTACTTTCTAAAAGCAACTACATATATTCTAGGACTGTGAGTGCTGGTTTCTGGTAAATGGGGAGTTGCTTAGAAACCAGGAATGAGGGATGGAGACCAGAGGTCTCCTGTGGATGAAGTATAAACAGTAATTCTTCTTTTTTTTTTGAGACAGAGTCTCGTTGTGTTGCCCAGGCTGGAGTGCAGTGGCACGATCTTGGCTCACTGCAAGCTCCGCCTCCCGGGTTCACGCTAGTCTGCCTCAGCCTCCCGAGTAGCTGGGACAACCGGCGCTGCCACCATCCCCGGCTACTTTTTTTTTTTTTTTTTTTATTTTTAGTAGACAGGGTTTCACCATGTTAGCCAGGATGGTCTCAATCTCCTGACCTTGTGATCCATCCCCCTCAGCCTCCCAAGGTGCTGGGATTACAGGCATGAGCCACCGCACCTGGCCATATAAACAGTAGCTCTTCTAAGGAATCGGTACTAACCTTGGAAAGAAGATGAACATAATTTTTCTCTGCGCAACCTCTACCCCTCTTCTGATGAAGGCACCTGCTTTTCTTGAGGGCCTGCTCCTCCATAAACCTGAGCCCATGTCCTTTGGGTGGAGCTTCAGGAATCGGCATATGAGTCAGTCCAGAAAAATCCGCACATCTCATCGGCCAGCCACAGCGACTAATTGCAGAAGAGGCGTTTGACCCCAGGTCACGCCAAGGGGATTCCGTCCCGGGACTTTTGCTGCACTGTTTTGAAAGAGGCCCTCTTTCCCCTGGTATTGCTAAACTGGCAGGACGTGGGCCTGAAACTGCCAGAACGTACCTTGATCCCAGCCGGGTAGAGTCAGGGGGGAGCAGGGCTGAGAGCTGGAGACACAGATTCCTGAAAGCATTGTTTGAGCGCGCGGATCCAGTCTTGCCTTAAATCAGACTTTTTAGTAACATGAGCCGATCAGTTCCTCTGCTACGCCAATTTGAGTTTAACTTATCGTTAGTTAATAAGTATAATCATTTAAACACTAATGATTAAAATAGTCCTCATTAGTCCAGATTGTACTTTAAGTTGCTTGCATACATTATCTGGAGGAAAGTATAAAAATAATAGGCTATCAATAGTGAGACTAATATTAAGTTCTTTTAGGTAATGAAAAGTCAAACTGATGGGAAAAGTTCTGTGGGAAATTGTGTGAAGCTATGTTAACAGTAAGAAAAGTGACTAGGTTTTGCTGTAAGTAAATGGATGGTCACACTTTCGGGAAATAATAATTTAAATTCTATTTCTAGTATGACAAGTGGCAAGGCAAAGAATGAGTCATGAAGGGCTCTTTAAGAACATACAGTGCAAAGATGCTACTGTACCGTAACATGTTAGAAAAATATAGTAGAACTAAAACAGGTAACGTGATGGACGGTGAAAAGGTGTAAAAACAAACAAACAAAAGGTGGCCAGATGCAGTGGTTCACGCCTGTAATCCCAGCACTTTGGGAGGTCGAGGTGGGCGGATGACTTGAGGTCAGGAGTTCGAGACCAGCCTGGCCAACATGGTGAAACCCCATCTCTACTTAAAAATAGAAAGAAAAAAAAATTAGCTGGCATGGTGGCAGGCGCCTATAATCCCAGCTACTCGGGAGGCTGAGGGAGGAGAATCACTTGATTCCAGGAGGCAGAGGTTGCAGTGAGCCAAGATCATGCCACTGCACTCCAGCCTGGGCAGCACAGCAAGGATCTGTCTCAACACAACACAAAACAAACAAAACCAACAGGTAACATTCATCCCACTGTTGCGTAGACTCACAATGGGCCGAATGTATTCCGTCCGAGCTTCCAGATCCACGGTCCACCCCCTCCCACCCTGCTCTCCTCTCAGCAGACCTGCGTCCTTTGGCTTCTAGCTGGAGTCCCTAACAGGGATCCCCGTCAGGGAGGAGAGAGTGGTTGTGTGTGTTCCCCTGGTTTCCTCCTACAGGGGCTTCCTCAGGGAGCTGCTTCCCTAGATCACAGGTCACAGGGCTTCTCAAGGAGCCTCTCCCCGGCGTGTGTGGACTCTGCCTTTTGGGTTCAGAGGTCACAGGGCTTCCCAAGGAGCCCCTCCACGGCGCGTGTGGACTCTCGCCTTTTGGGTTCTGATCACCATTGCCTCCCCCAGACCTAGGGATAGTAACAGCCCTTTGGGGCAAGTCCTGGGTTCCCGCATTCCCATGACCACACTGTGTACTGGTCCCTTTATTAAACCCTCCTCGAACTGCCTAGCTTGCAGGTGCCAACTCTTTGCTATAATATGACGTCATATGTCATCATGCACATTCTTTTTTTTTTTTTTTTTTGAGACGGAGTTTTGCTCTGTCCCCCGCTGGAGTGCAGTGGCGCGATCTCAGCCGCTCACTGCAACCTCTGCCTCCCGGGTTCAAGCGATTCTCCTGCCTCAGCCTCCTGAGTAGCTGGGATTACAGGCGCACACCACCACGCCCGGCTAATTTTTGTGTTTTTAGTAGAGATGGGGTTTTGCCATGTTGGCCAGGCTGATCTCGAACTCCTGACCTCAGGTGATCCACCCGCCTCGGCTTCCCAAAGTGCTGGGACCACAGGTATGAGCCACGACACCCAGCCGCACAATGCACATTCTATGTCCATATTTGGAAAATTACCTTTGATTGTGAGTGTTTAGCCTCAAGAAAACAGCAAGGCAGGCAAAGTCGAAAGGAGGGAAGTGAAGAGATCAAGAGATGGGAGTGTGCAGCCATTTCGGGACCGATCAAATGTGATGCCTGAGCTTACAATCTTCACATTAATAACTTACAGTTTGATTATAGACTAGAATATTAGTATAGGGAGCACATCTTAAACCCGGAGATTTGCTTTAAATAAATAAAATGGAGTATTACCTCATGCAGAAGTTTGTACACTCACGAAATTCATTACTCTAAGAGGCAGTACAATTTGAAAGTAAAAATCAATTCCAAATGGCTTAAATACACAAATGAAGGAATTTTAAGTCACCCAGGGAAACTTGAATTTTGAGGTTAATATCAAGATATGAGAGAGGTAAATGGACTAGAGCTGATCTGGAAATTCTTATGTTTAATAATAAAGGAAATTTTGAACATAAATAAAACTTACGTTAGCTTCTCATTTTCCGCCTTAGTTGGCACTTCTGAAAACATACACCTTATATAATACATTTACCTCTCTCCTTTGAATTCTGAACTACTATCTGCTGCCCTCTCAGGATGTTTTAACCTGGAGTCCATGGATTCTAGGGGGTCTGTGGATAGAATTGTATTTCAGCGTAGTCTATTTCTTCTCCTTGAGTATGTATTTCATTTTCTACATTTAAAAACATGATTCTGAGGAGTCCACAGGAGCTGCCAGAGCACCAGAGGGCTGTGTGGCAAGATGAAGTTTAAGATTCCCTTGTAGGCCGGGCGCGGTGCCTCACGCTTGTCATCCCAGCACGTTGGGAGGCCGAGGTGGGCAGATCACCTGAGGTCAGGGTTTGAGACCAGCCTGGCCAACATGGTGAAACCCTGTCTCTACTAAAAATACAAAAATTAGCCAGGTGTGGTGGTGCACACCTGTAGTCCCAGCTACTCAGGAGGCTGAGGCAGGAGAATCACTTGAACCTGGCAGGCGGAGATTGCAGTGAGCCGAGATCACACCGCTGCACTCCAGCCTGGGTGAAAGAGTGAGACTCCATCTCAAAAAAAACAAAGATTCCCTTGTAGACCAAACCAGCTGTCTGGGTTTCCCAGGGCACTGCCTTGCTTCACAATTCTGGTAAGGGTCCTGGTTAACAGGGCACTTCCCAGCCTTTGGAGAGACAGGGATCTCGCTCCACTTTGGTGTGGATGCAGAAGCACAGAGACTAGAGTTGAGGCAGAAACGAGTAAGAAGCTCTCCCCGCCCAGGGCCTGTTTGGGAAGGAGGAAGCTCAGCTGCCAGGATCATCTTCCAGGCCCAGAACAAGCAGCACCTCCCTTCCCTGACTGCTGCCAGCATGGACTCTCTCTGCAGTTCCACTCCCTGATCCCATCCTGCATGACTGGATGCACTTTCGGACCAAGCACTGGGACAAAACTAAATTTAAAAATTTAAATTAGGCCGGGTGCAGTGGCTCACGCCTGTCATCCCAACACTTTGGGAGGCCAAGGTGGGCAGATCACCTGAGGTTGGGAGTTTGAGACCAGCCTGGCCAACATGGAGAAACCCCGTCTCTACTAAAAATACAAAATTAGCTGGGTGTGGTGGCGCACACCTGTAATCCCAGCTACTCGGGAGGCTGAGGCAGGAGAATCACTTGAACCTGGGAGGCAGAGGTTGCAGTGAGCGGAGATGGCACCATTGCACTCTAGCCTGGGCAACAACAGCAAAAATCCATCTCAAAAAAAAAAAAAAAATTATTAGTGGGGTGTGGTGGCAGGTGCCTGTAATCCCAGCTACTCAGGAGGCTGAGGCAGGAGAATTGCTTGAACCCAAGAGGCAGAGGTTGCAGTGAGCTGAGATCACTCCACTGCACTCCAGCCTGACAAAGACATGTTCTTGAGAACAAAAGGTTCTTTTTTTTTTTTTTTTTTTTTTTTGAGGCGGAGTCTCGCTCTGTCACCCAGGCTGGAGTGCAGTGGAGCGATCTCAGCTCACTGCAAGCTCCGCCTCCCAGGTTCACGCCATTCTCCTGCCTCAGCCTCCCAAGTAGCTGGGACTACAGGCGCCCGCTTGTATTGTTTAGTAGAGACCGGGTTTCACCGTGTTCACCAGGATGGTCTTGATCTCCTGACCTCGTGATCCGCCCGTCTCGGCCTCCCAAAGTGCTGGGATTACAGGCGTGAGCCACCGCACCCGGCCAAAAGTTTCTTTAATTCCCTACACAGGCCCCTAGTGACCACCGCCATCTCATTAATAAATGGCTTTCATTCTTGGGCTCAGTGAACAAAATGGCTTGTGGCGTGTGGAACTGAGTGTCTTTACGCTTTTGAAAATTGTACTAAATTCTTGTCTCCAGAGGTTTGGCCCTTAGTCAATGCCTGGAGGGAAATTTATTTGCAAAACTCCCCACTCTCTGGAAAATCATTTGTTCTGGTCAGATTCCTGGAATTCATATCTAGATACTGGGGCGTCTCACAACGGGTGTCTGTCACAATTTTTTCTGCCACTTTGGGTTGAGTTTTCCTCCGGGCGTGTCAGTTCTAAGAATGCTCCTTCGACAGAGAAAACAGAAGCAACATACGCTGGGGAGTTTCTGCTTTCTCTTGTCACCCACCAGCATGACAACACTGACCGCAAACAGCGTATCCCCTTTTTTGCTTTGAATATGACTTTATGAAGTCCTTGTACAGGCCTCAGTTCACGTGAGGCTTTCACTTTCTCGGAAGCACACTGCCATTTGTTCCATCTTACGTTCCTCTGCGGGCAAAAGCACCCTCTGTTCAGCTCAGGCTCACCTTCTCCTACAGTCACATCGAAGAACATCTGCAACCTTGGGTTTCTTTAAGCCCCTTCCTTCTTTTTTGCTGAATTGAGATTTCACTGGCACAGTGAATGTTCTTAGGAAGTACTCAATTCTTGAGCATCTTTCCAACGTCTCAAGCCATGGTATGTTCTTTTAATTGGTAAAATCCAGGGACCATGTCTAACTGGGCCCCACCATTTCTCTCGCTATTATATACTGGAAGAAGACACAGTTGCTTACTCCCAAGCTTCCTGTCACTTCCACTCTGCCAACCAATTCCTCCTTTTGGCCAAATTTAGTTCAGAGTGGCAGTTCCCCTTACTACTTCCTCTACTCGTTGGAAGATGAGATTGTCAGCATGCAATAATAATAGCTGACGCCTACTGAGTTCTTTCTGTGCCAGAGGCACCTTTACTATGAGGAAGCAGAGGCACGGAGATGCGAAGTATCTTGCTCAAGTTCACCCATCTGGCCGGGGTGTGGGCATTCGAGCCAGGGTCTGATGCCAGAGCCCAAGCTCTGTTTCTTGCTCTATGCACCTGAAATTGAAGACTCTGATTTCAGCTGGACAGATTTTCTTTATTATTATTACTATTACACTTTAAGTTCTAGGGCACATGTGAACAACGTGCAGGTTTGTTACACATGTATACATGTGCCATGTTGGCTGCTGCACCCATTAACTCGTCATTTACATTAGGTATATCTCCTAAGGCTATCCCTCCCCCAGCCCCCCACCCTACAACAGGCCCCGGTGTGTGATGTTCCCCACCCTGTGTCCAAGTGTTCTCATTGTTCAATTCCCACCTATGAGTGAGAAGATGCAGTGTTTGGTTTTCTGTCCTTGCGATAGTTTGCTCAGAATGATGGTTTCCAGCTTCATCCATGTCCCGACAAAGGTCATGAACTCATCCTTTTTTTTATGGCTGCATAGTATTCCATGGTGTATATGTGCTACATTTTCTTAGTGCAGTCTCTCATTGATGGACATTTGGGTTGGTTCCAAGTCTTTGC